CTGGTTATACCAAAGCCTTAAACAACACTGCATTATTCATACCATTACCACAGACGAGCAGCGTTAGACGACTTAATTAGTACTTTCACTGCAGATTTTCAAACTGCCCTACAGCAAAACAGTACCTGTGCCTTCAGCCGCCCCAAAAGGTATAGCAAAGTGCTCAGCAATTTGATCGAAAGAAGAAATTCTGCTAGGAGAAAGTGGCAGAGATCTCGCTACCCTCCAGATAAAGTTCTGCTCAATCAACTTAACCGGCAAGTCAGGTTCCTCACACAACAACACGCAGACAGAGACTAGGCAAATTATCTATCCTCCTTATCTGGGGAGGATAACTCTGTTTGGAAAGCTACCTCCAAACTTAAAAGATGCTACACCATCATTCCGCCCTTAAATGGCCCTGATGGAATCGCCTGATGGAATCACAGAGACCGAGAAAGCTGAGTCGCTGGCAGATCACTATGCTACTCAGTTCGGCGCTAACAACATTTCACACCTACCCACAGAAAACTTAGTCATGCAAACCCTTTCCAATTTTCCAGCACAACCACAAGCAAACAACACTCCTCCAGTCCAGCTAGAAGACGTCTATGACTATATTGAGAAACTGAAGACAAGAAAGAGTCCTGGCCTGGACCAAGTATCGAACAAGATGCTAAAAAGATGGGTCTACACATGTTACTGAAACTGACGAAGATTCTAAACTGCATGCTAAAGTTGGGCCACTTCCCTGCAGCCTGGAAGGTCGCAGTTATATCACCACTTTTGAAACCTGGTAAACCCTCAGACGAACCTGTTTCCTACAAGCCTATCAGCCTCTTACCATTAGTCAGCAAGGTCGCCGAGCATATAATATTGGAAAGATTGCTCAACTACGCAAAAGAAAATAATATCCTCATCAATGGGCAACACGGCTTCAGGAGTAAACATTCTACAGTACATCAATTGTACAGAGTAACTGAGATTATTTCCAGTGGCCTACAAGAAAACCCCACCACTGCTGCTCTGTTTCTCGATGTAGCCAAAGCATTCGATCATAGCCAAGGCATTTCATCTCCATCTGGTTTGGAGGCTTACTTCACAAACTTATCACCCTGGGAATACCAGGTTACATCACAAACATCTTACCTTCTTACCTTATAGGTCGCTAATTTGTCGTTCGTGTCAACAACACAATATCCAGTCTTAGACCAACCCAGGCTGAAACTCCTTTTATTCAATCTTTACACGAACAACATCCCACAGATACCACATACCACTCTTTCACTCTATGCAGATGACACTGTGATTCTCTCACAGAATGCATCTTTCAGCTTAGTCGTTTCAACACTACAAAAACACATTCACTCACTGGAATCCTGGCTAAATGCCTGGAAGATCCAAATAAATGTACAGAAATCAGATACCATCCTATTCACAAGAAGGAGAAAGGATATCAACCTAGAAGTTCAACTCAATGTTTGTAGAGTCATTGCCATGGACTAAGCATACCCATTACTTAGCCGTTGTTATAGATGATCAACTCACATAGTCCCCACGCATTACACATATGCTCTCTAAGTTCCGGGTACATAAATAACATTTCCCCCCCTTAATCGCTCGGTACTCTGCGTTATCCCTAGAATGCAAGTTACTGATCTATAAACCCTTTTGCGTCCCATACTTACTTATATCTGTCTAGGGGTATGCCTATCAAACGGCAATTAATAAATTCAAGTTGCCCAAAATGTTGCATTCAGAGAAGTGGCTAAAGGTCGCTGGTTTATTAGAAACTCGGCCATTCATCGAGAATTAAAAGGGCCTGAAATTCAGGTGTACATGGCTAAATTGGCAAAAAGCATTCTATGACAATATCAGAAATGAGCAGAATCCCAACATTCCCATCCTGTACTACGACCCTGTTCAGTAATGTTAACAAAAAAAAAAAAAAAAAAAAAAAAAAAAAAAAACCTCGAGCAATGCTCAGGCACATTTCTTAAATTTTGTATATAATGTAAATAATTTCTGATTCATGCTTGAATTTATCTTCATAATCGTTTTTCAGCTACCCCTTTTACTGTACTGTACTGTGTATTATTTGTGTAATTACTTACTGCTGTACTCTTGTGTATTGTGCTACTATTTTATGTAAACAACTAATTGTGTGAGATTTAAGTTTGGCAATTCGATGGCATTTCTTTTTCGCGCACTTACCTTGCACTCTTCTCTTCTACGCGTCACGACAGGTTTAGCTTCTGGATTCTCTCGGCACACAAAACTATTTAGGAACTTATTGCATTATATTGCACCTGTGACATCTTGTTCATCGCTTCACCCCAAGTTTTTTATGGACCTTTTCTCAAAAATTAGAACTCTCACATGTGAGAAAATCGGCATAAATGTTATCCTTGGGGTAGCGCTTCCTGCGCGAGCACCTGTATTGCAAGCAAACGCCTTGCCTCAGACGCCCTGCGTCGTCATGCGCCGCACAACCCTGCACCTATTCACGGCGCGGGCCTGCTCGTGGTTGCCAAGTCTCCTTAGTTAAACAATACTCTTTAGATCTTGGCGTCACTTCACTTAACACACATATAGTAAAAATAGAATACTTCTGATTTTAGATATAGAATGAAACATATTTCCGTTTTTTTTTTTTTTTTTTTTTTTTCCTCTTCCAGCAAGTTGGGAAATTAAATTCTTCAACACATTTTTCAGTAACATCTACTTTTAATAGAAACCATTACAAGTCCATTTACTGTACATTTATTCATGTTGCTCTTAATCAATTTTAATTTTGAAAAATTTCTGCTCTAACAACATTTATAAGTATTTTCGAGAATATAGGGGAGGTTGTAAATAAATTTAGGTATATTTCATTATAATTTCGTGAATAATCATTTTTAATATTATTCGAGGGCTCTTTCTTTGTATATGAAGAGTTTATCTCATTTTTAATTTTTCGTTTAATTCTATACAATTCATATGAGATATATTACTATATGACACTATTTTTTTTCAAAAGTTTAAAAACACTTTTTAATTTTATGGAGATAAATCTTTTTATACATTATATCATATAAAAGTTTCATTCATAATATACCAACTGGTAAAGGAAGTTGTAGGCAAAGTTAATTGCTAAGCAACCGTGAATTCCCTAAAATACATTATGTACCGCCGAGCCTTGTTATCTAGTAAACTGTGCCCCAGTTTTTAATGAAGAAGGCTCCGGAGGTGTTCTGAAGGTCTCCAACTTTTCTTCCTCTACTATTAAAAACCTCTCCAGAGAATTTCGGCTCGCCGTATATTATGAATGCCCGCTTGCTTCATGCATGGATGTTTGTAAATTTATAATATCTTCACGTATACTATAACAATTCTGGCGATGTTACAAATATCTATGCCTTTTCTGGGACTCGGATCCACATTCTTCTCTATGGTATTCAGCGTCATTTACCATTATTCCGCCTGGGCTGCTCTATACATACTAACAGCATAGAAATACCATATCCATATGTAACCATGTGTTTGGATTTTATTCGAAAAATACAGTATAGATCGAATCAAGAATCTGATGGCCTATTCGCATGCATGCAATTGGCACTTAACAAAACTGAGCTTGAGTATGAGATAGAATCTGATATATAGATGCACATATCGACGCCTCAGAAAAAATTCAATTCAGGTAGAGATTCATAAGAAGATAACAAATACGTTGCTGATCATTAAAATTGCTACACCAGGAAGGAAAGGAAATAGTAGAATCTTATTTATTGTACATTTACAATATAATGAGAGGAAGATATGATTAAATTAACAAGTGAATTTGGGGTTCACAACATGCGGGATTCAGTACACAAAGCTGACAACTCTGGTAGCAACAACGTCTGTAATCCGGGTGGGCATCTAATCGAACTAAGCTCAGATGATGATGATGATTTCATTCCATGCAGCTTCAACTCTACTTTCTGGCGAGTGTTGGCATACCAGTTGCCGGGCAACCCATGATAAGATGTTCTCAATAACTGAGAGATCTGCAGAATGTGCTGACCAGGGCAATATTTGAAGACATTCTGTATCTAGGAACATCGGGACAACACATGCAACATGAGGTCGTGCATCATCTTGTTGAAAGATAGCGTCAAGCAGGCCTTGAAGACTGGGCACAGCCACGGGGCTTAACACATCACATATGGAATGACGTTTGCCCACATTACCGGCTGCGGGAACAAGAGGTAAGCGGGGTGTGATCGGAATTTTACCTCATGCCAGCACGCCCGGCGCGGGGCGCGTATGACTTTCACGAATGCAGGCTAGCAACGTTCATTCTCCTCTGTGCCTACAAACACGGATACATTCGTCATCATGCTGTTTCGTCTGAATCATGACATGGTGCCACTCCTGTGCCCAAGTCGTTCGTTGTAACGACGATACTAGACAACGTCCACTGTAGGTGCGACAGGCTCTGTTGTAGCGTCATGGGAAGCAGCAACAGTGGTCACTGTGCTGATAGTCCGTGGTGCTGTAGACGCTCTCGCATTGTCCGCAACGCCCTCTCGGACTTTAATGCTTCAAGGCCGCTGAGATCCTGCATGTCGTTCAGTATGGCTCTCTTGGACCCATCGATTCCATATTCGCCTGACAGTTATGGGAACCCGACCAACACGGGCAGCGACGTCGCGCCACAATGAACCGTAGTCCCAAGAGTCCACGATCCTGTCGTGGTTTTTTATAGGGTGCATAACACTCATCAACAGCTCATAAGCATGACTCTGTGTACAGAAGGAATACAACTTCGTCTCATCCACTTACTTCTTAAAAGGAATTATAAATCGTTTGCAGCTGCTAAGCAGCACGCAATTCTAGAAAAAGAAATGTGGGTTTCGCATCCAGATTTCATTACAGCTCTTAAGTTGCAACAGGAAAGCATAGTTCAATGATCAGCATAGATGTTTTCACTATCTTGTATTATTGTAGAATAAAATGAGGAGTTGACAGAAAAGTGATAAAATATACTAACAAAGTAGAGTGATAAATATCTTTATTTCACAATACAAAATGCAACGAAACAATATATACAAAATTACACAACATTTCGATAAATATCTGTTCACATTCTTTCAATGAATTAAGGAAGCAACTTTCTGGGTATTGGCAAAAATTTTATCTTTAAATGCTTAATTTCCCCTCAAATGTTATCAGTACTGTACACCACTGATGAAACAAAAAACTTCTGAAGACAAAGGGTCATTTACAATTATGTATGAACGATAATTCATTTATCGATGCTTTTTTCAACATTTGATCGTATGGCAAAATGATAAACTTGAAACATTTTTCGCGAACTGCTGCGCAATTGCGACATGTTCTTAGAAGATGAAAGCAAATAGTTGTACAGAGATAATTAAAAATCTATTTAAATATTTTGAAATTAAGAAACGCAATAGACTTTCGTATCATAGACAAGTATCACGTTAGAATTACAGCTTATAAAATATCGCATAAAGTCTGATATGCAAATAATACTGCCTAAAAATTTCTTATACAAGCTTGCGCCATGTGTTTTAAGTGTTATCAACTGTGTAACAATAAATTATCTCATCAAACAAATTAGTAAGAGATCTTAAATAAAACTTTGTAAAAAATTATCTTTGTAATCTTTGTAAAACATTCTTTTCTTAAAATAAATTCTCTCAGTCAAACAGTTTTCATTCCGCAAATAAAGTCAAAAATAATTCACTTCGTAAGAATGAAAATATAGTCTCTGGCGTGAAGACAAAAGTTCAGTTTGTGAGATTGAAGACAATAATAATTTACTCCTTGAAAATGAAGGCAACACTGATTCAATCTATGAGAATGAAAACAACAAATAGTCACTTCTTGAGAATGACGGCAACAATAATTTACTCCTTGATAGTGAAGGTAACAATAATTCATGTGACTTCATCCCAATCAAAGCTAAACAGCTTGAATATAAAAAACCAAAGTAAAAATTAACGCGAAATTCACAAGTGAGATCGATTTTCACTGAAAATAATGGTTGGCATTACTTCTTCTTTGTCAGGGCCCTTTATAATCTTGTGCTTTCCGTCTGATGTACTAAGTATGTAGTCATCCATCCTTTCCCTTTGATAAAAATTTGTCCTCTACACTGAACATCATATTTCCCGCTTTCTTGCAAAATGGAAGCAACTCTTTCGGTAACCTGAAAAGACCAAAATTTAACCAAATGCAAATATTTTTTAAACACTCACGTTTATTAATTCATATTTATTACTTTACAAAACAGATACATTTAAGGTTGATTATCTGAGATATTAAAGACTGAATAACTACCTATTTATATTTTCTCTTAATTCTTACAAAATCATTAATTATCCTGTAAGGATTGCGTTAATTTTATTAACAGTTAAATAAGGCTACTCTCTTGTAAGCTATTATCACGCTCGGCTGTACTTTAGGCCCTTGGTAGCTTCGCAGTCTATTAACATTAAGGGGCCAACTCTGTTAGAATTTTGATAGCTTCGGCTATACCTCTTTAGTTTAAATTAGTTTATTTGAATTCTTAGTCTCTAAAGGTCAAGCCTAAACGTTGGCTTTATTGTACACTCCAAGACGGAGTTTTGTTAAACTTTAATTGGAATAATAAAGGGTTAGTTTACCCTTCTATTTTTTGTTTCTTGTCCACGAACTCAAGCGATTATTCGCTTATCAGTTCTTAAGATTCTTCACTTCCAACAGTAACAAAGAATTACAGAGTGAGGAACTCCACAATCCTTTTGCCCTCAAATGTAAGAAATAATAAATATACATCAGGCCGTATTTTAGTGTTTATCGTTACTAATTTTGAGCTGATTTCTATATTAAGCAGAAAAAAGGGGAGGGTTGTTCTGTATTTCCCATTCTAGTTAGCCGATTGATAAAATTCAACTCTCATGTCACGGAATAGGTATTTATAGGATACATATATCTTTATATATATAAGCGACTAAAGTGTGTGTCGCCGATAGTTTATTGTATTGTTTATTGTTTACTCAGAAAAATGAGCGCGGAAATTAACGTTTTCGCAGTTTTTAATTAATATCTTGGCCGATTAAAGTCGTACGAAGATGAGAACGGTATCGATGGATTCGGAGAATTTTTTGGAATTCGAGGATACGCGTCTGGAATTTCAACTCGGCGCCGTTCCGTAGATATTCGAGAAAAAGGAATTTGGTACGTAGCCAAATCCCTCTAATAGGGAAAACCCAATAAAGAAAGTGGAAAATGTAGAGAAAACGTAGGGGAAAATAAGCTTTTAATTAATATCTCGGCTAATTAATGACCCACGAAGATGGGAATGGTCAAAATGGCGTGCCACGGACCTGTGGAATCCATCGGTGTGCTTCGCTAAGCCCGGGAGCCTGCCGTTTTGGAGGAGATGATGTTACTTCACCTCATATATATATGCGGCTTAAGTGTCTGTTTGTCGCCGATAGTTTTATTGGTTGCTTGCGTAATTGTACTAGCCAATGGGGTGAAGTTGTCACGGCACCGGGTTGCCGTTTCAATTGAGACGTAGACAATTTCCTGTAAAACTTGCCTTCGCAATGACCATCAATAAATCTCAGGGCTCAACGCTTAAGCGTGTTGGCATTTTTTTTTTGCCATGAAGCCTGCATTTGGACACAGTCAACATTATATGTTGCCTGTTCAAGAGTCGTGAAAGAACGAACATAAAATTAAAAATAATTGGATTGGTGCTCTGCAAGGTCGAAGCTTAAAAATGAGGGAAAGATCTACACAAGAAATGTTGTGTATGAAGAGATCTTTGACATGTGAATTAACATTTCATTATTTAAATCACCTTGTATTTATTGAGCTAGCGATGGCTCTTAAGAATGTATGCTAGTGTTTCCTTCATTGCACTCTACTTTAAGCAATTAAGCAAGTAGAAGGAGAAAACCCAGTGGGGCAAGTAAGCAAAGGGGCGTCCTCGCCGCCTACCCTGGGTAATTCAGGTTAAATTAGCAGACACCTTTGCACAAATCATTTTAATTACAATTTATAATATCTAGAACAGCGGTCATTTCATATAACCGCCGGGCTTTCTAGTTATACTATATGCACTCAATGTATTTAAAACCTTTTAGAACTAATTTCTTGCAAAATCAATAAAGAAACGGCATTTTTACTTTGAAACCTCCAATATACAATCCTTAAAAGTATATAACGCTTGGCACGTTCATACATTTGCTTTATAACTTAGCAGAACACATCTTTTGGACTACAATTTAAGTCTCTGCTTAAGGTTTTTCTCATTCTCTTCAAAGCCAATAAAATAATATCATTTGAGGCCAGACTTCACTTTAGAAAACATATATATAAACCGTAGACAAAAATGGAATTTTGTGCGACAGCTCTATGGCAGAGAACATTTATTCGACTGAAACTTTTCAGGCCTAATTGCATTCCCTACAAAAGTCTCTACATTAAGTATTTCTAAAATGTTGAGTTTAATATATAAAAAAAAATACTTGTGAATTCAATCTCAGGAACAAACCCCTTATGAATATCTCTTTCAAAGCATAAAAGGTTACCAAACATGGACTACAAATTTACTCGAGATTTTTGAAACCGAAGTCCTGTACCAGTGGTAAACCTTTTCCAATTCAAGCATATGATTGCCATTTTGTTTCATGATTGTAAATGAAGCGTGAATTTCCAAAGTTTGAAAACTTTTGCCAGTTTTCTCGCTTCGCAAGAAAAATTTACTGCTATTCTTTCCTTATCCTTTTGAGTCAATGACATCAAATGTTCATTGGTTCAAAAGCAAACGCTCAACGGTATAGAAAATTCTGTTCGTAAGCAGACGAACGTAAGCGAACGACATTCAACTATTTGTAAGCAGACGACAAGTTGAGATGTTATAGCAATAAATGTTGTCAATTATAGTTTGATAGGTTTGCAGGAATTTGTCAAAAAAATTGGTTCTAAAATTCTGCATATGTGCTGTTTATATAATTTTGTTCTAACCACAGGGATTCCCAACCCATTTTTTTTAGCGAATTTTTTTAAAACAATGGTTTTATTCATCGACCCTGTTACATATTTCTCTATAAATATACCTCATACAAATAAATTATAATACACGTAACTGCACCTAAGTTAAAGATAACAATTAGACTAAGAATAAGAACAAAAGTTTTGAAAAAATTATTTATTAGATTGATGTTTTGTTATTTTATTATTATTATTATTAATTTTACTAATATAAACATGTGTTCAGAAACAAAAACACAGTACTAATTGCACGGAATTTCAATTTTAATTAATCGGTTAATGGGATTTTGATTAATGCGATGGCGCATTTAATTAATGCGATTTTAATTAATGCGTTTGATGTACTGATCTAAAGTTTTTAATATTTGGCATTACATTGCTTAACTTAATTCTTAAATTACCTCGTTCAAAAATATTCAACCTGTTTCTTGTTTTCCATAGTGAATTATTGACTTGGCTAAAGCCTGGTTCCATCAGGTAAGTCAAAAATGTTGGTTCGGTAACAACTTTTATTTTAGGCTATTTCTCACGGAGGACTTTCATATTCCAAAACTTAGCATGCTTATGCTTTTTGAATAAAATTTGTGTTGAGCATCCTCCTGCAATGCAAGCAACTCTTCTTCAATCGTAATATGAGGACCATTTCAGCGGTTTTATGAGTCTTGCAAACACATTCAAATTTTCAGTGTCTTAAAAGCAAACATTAAAATCTTATTTTTTGGTTTGTACGTAAAAATATCTATTCTGAAGAAATAGCATTCCTTTCAATAACGGACAATCGCAATTGTGTATTTTGCCCTTTATATTTATTTTATATAAATTTCTTCATTACTATATGTTAGAGCTTCATATCAAAAAACATTTAATTATCAGTTTTATTAATATATGTTTATGTAATGAATGGGATCTTGATTATGCCGATCAATTGCCGGTGCATGTTCCTATATGGACCCCAACTGACCCTTTGATTTTATATCGATTTCTAGCATGGTGCAGTATGAGGATCAACTAGGCGGTTGATATTGTCCCCGTTGGGAACTCCTGTTCTAACATGCGATTTTTGACATTAAAGCGGATTTTTCTTAAAATGAAATGCCGATATTTTTTGCAGTAGTTCAATTTTTCACCTCACTTTATGCCTAAATAGACGAAAAAAATGCGAAATTTTGTAAAAATCGTTGAAATGACTATTGTTATTAAATCTGACGCTATTTTGAACTTGCCGAAAAAAATATTCGCTTTGCGAGGCGAATTTGAAGTAAGTTGAGATTTTCTAATTATTGCTATAAGCTTTCGCATGTAATTATTGCTATTATTCCTATATCGCAAAATTGCATTTTGAGATTTCACTGGAGTTTGAAGAAATTCAGTCCTAAAATTATGTAGATGCACTACACATAAAGGAATTAAACCTCAAACTTTTAATTAGGTGACTCTTTAAATAACACAAAACAGATTTTACACCGACCCTTCAGGATGATTACACGTAAAAAGGGTAATGACCTCTAAATGAGCAACATGAAACCGATAGGTAAGTAGGAAATTTTATATCTAGCCTGAGCTTCTAACTTTTTAAAAAGGTAATGAAAATTATCACCATGCTTTATCGCTTATCCCAAAACAGTTAATTCTATAGACCTTATTTTACCTTTAAAACCTTTAAAACACTTTCTTTTTCAGTAGCTTCTAAATCACTTTTTCACCTACAGATGCTGCTCGAAATTTTGTTTCGGATCCTGTCCCGATTTTGTCCTGTTGATCTCAGGATACGACTTCACAACGATGCTCGATCAAAGAACTGCAAATATTTTTATCAGTATTGACGAGGGTTCGTGAAACATTATCACAGAAGTAATCCGAGTTAATGGTCCCGGCATATTTTGAAAATATCTACTTGCTTAGAGGCCAAAGCTATCGGGATATTCTCCTAAATTCATGCAGATTTCTCTTTGTCTGACTTTCGTAATCTAGCTGAAGAAAATGCTATTTGACCTTCAAAATTATAGTATAATCCAGGTTCCCATTACTGTATAGACCAACTAAGGCTGGGCCCAAGGCTCCATGTTTGAGGAATATTCAAATCATTCTAGTATAATTCAATTACATATTCCAAAACACCTTTTGAGAATCTATATTGTTTTGAAGCTTTCCTGTATTTTCTAGGAGTGGCAATACCTGTGTTATCGTTCAGAATTCTAACGAAGTGTCAAGAAAGTTACAATCAGCTCTTTTCTGTTTACGATTTTTGTACAACCTACCATTAAGCTACGTGGACTTATGGCACCAATCACAACAATTCTTTACAATCCTGCTTTTTCCCGATGAAAATAGAGAAGTAACTACTGAGAATTCCTGAAAGAACGCTGCAATTACGGTCCCGGTTTGTTTTGATAGGAACCTGAGTACTGTACGTTTAGTTATACTTCGCCAAATACTATTGCCAACTTTTGTAATCTTTCTTATTGGAAATATATCCTGCAGTGCAATTTTTCTGCATTAATGCAAATCGAAAGGGTGACCAGAAACGGGGCCATGTTACGCTAGAATTATAAAAATGAAAGGATAGCACATAAGACAAATGCTTTTCTTTGCAATATAGTTTTAAAATAAGAACAAGAACTGAAAAGGGTAGCTTATATAAAGGCAAAACATTTCAAAATCCGTTAAAGAAATAAATGCAAATGCGCCAGACCTGCCTAGTGATGTAGAAGTAAGTTTGTGAAATTTTCTGGACTGATGAACACTGGCCAACTTGCGTTAACAATGTTTGTAGCTCTTTGATGGAGGGCCACTGTAAAAGCTTTTTCGGCCAGTTGTTACGATATGAAATCCATAGTGATATTTATTAATGGAAAAGTGAATTAGAAGCAACTGAGAAATAAAGGTTTTAAAAGTTAAATAATACAGTAATGCTGGTGTTTACTGGCTTATATGGTAAATGATGATCAACCGTGCTAGTACCATCTAGGTACAGGAAGTTCATTCTTTTAGTGAAAGAACTTAATCTACGTTTTGGTATAGTTCGACGGCCTCATCCGCGACCATTAGCGCAAACACGCATGCGCAATTCAGACCGAATTATTCTCAAAATAGGGTGGAAGGATGGGCACTTTCTTTCCCTCCAGCATATCTCTTTTCGGAGCAGAGACGACCCTTCACGTCGCAGCAAGTAATACCGCCCCTTTTGGACGAGTCTATGTTTTTGGCAGAATGCCAACCAGGGTTGCGCTTCAGACGGTCGAACTATACAACAGTTGCTATGGGTTTTAGACAGAGTATTAAAGACGTAGAGGAAGTGCTGAAAGAATATGTTGAAGAACTGCTTGCTACATGTGCTGGAAACAAAATGGCTGCATAACTAGAATAAATATGTTGCATGTTTACATAGAAAAAGAAAACCCAGACTATGTTAATTAAATCTATTATTTCATATTACAGTGAAACTTCTTGTCACGACTACCTTTTTAAGGTATCTGTGAAAGTAACTTGTTTTTCTGATACCATGAATAAACACCAGAACAACACTTTTTTAACATGAACGCCTCCAAAAGCATATGAAACTGTTACGATAGGTTAATCAGATTGTGTTGTTTGATTATTTTTAGATCAGACTTGATATGCTTGAATTACTACACATTTCTTCGTGAAATTCTTCGTCGAATTTACAGATATGTTACATAATTTTCCAAAAACTTAATCTTAAGCATGAAAATTAAGAACTTTTTACAGTTCTATGTAAGTTATCGAAAGATTCGTTTTACTTGAATAGCTCCGGTGACTCCAGTACTGTCCATTCGACTGGCAATGTTGACGGTATCTCCCCATATGTCGTACTGAGGTTTAGAAGCACCGACTACACCCGCCAAAACAGGTCCCATGGCAATTCCTGGAAGAAAAAGATCAATAAAATCTGAGATATAACAGACGAAGGAAATCACAGCTATGTTGCAAATAAAAATGCCAGATTAACATTCGATGAAATATGCAGTCAACTGCTAATTTAGTGGAGCTGAGACAAATTCTAAATTTTCTGGAGTTTTAATATATTCCCAAACCTCTCGAATTGATAATTTAAGAACTGTAAGAAGGAAATATAAAAGTAGAATTTATTAATCTTGAAATGATTTAACCAAAGCGAAATCTGAAACCTGCGTCTAATGAAATGAAAGAGTGATTTTCATTAAAACGATACGAATGGAAATTTAATAAATAAAATATGCAGTTGAAGTTTTTGAATTTAGACGTTTATTCCGTCATTATAATTTTACAAAATATTGTTTGATTAAAAGTTTTTTTTTCCCACGTTTCTTCAGAATTACTTTAAATCAAAGCAAATGTAAAGAGGATTATTTCAAGAATTAACATACACAAATGTAAAAACTGAATTCTTATCCTGCGAAGAAAATTAAGAGTGTATCAGTCAGAACCGCGATATCGATAGATCAACTGAAATTGCAACAACTGCATTTTTTTTCTAAAGAATCCTTTTATTTAGATGTTAATAAAACTAATCTTTCCAAAGTTTCGAGTTAAAATGTTAAGCAGATTTTTACATTAGTATTGAAAAGGCTGGAATGAATTTTTCCAATTTTTTTATTGAGAATCTTTTTTAAGATTCTTTATATTCCGAAATTCGAATAACAGTTACCTAGATTTTAACATTGGAAACATTTGTAGTTTAGACTTTCCAATGCACCGATAAACGTAACTGTTACTTCACTTTATATTACGAAACCCTAACGTAAGTGAAACAATGGAAGTTATTATCCAAAGCATTTATTTACCATTCAGATGGTAAATATTGCCATTCTACTGGGGAATATGAATTTTCCTTCATTATAGTGGAATACTGGCAAACTTCTTTTTTCCCAGAAGTGTTGCCATTCGACAAGTCATAATGCTTACTTAAATTACCATTCAAATAAAAATACAGTATATTTAACTAAGTAGGATTTAAAAAGTATGCATAGTTTTAAATAATTAATATTTTAAATTGAATTTTCAATAGAATTTATAAAGTAAATTTAATTCACATGATTTATAACATTTTTACATCTCAAACACGCACGCAATAAAAAGTATTCTATGACAGATACACAGAGACGGTACTCTCCCGCTTTCTTAGTGGCCATCTAAGAAACCTTGGCTTCCAATGTGGTTAAAAAAAAAAAAAAAAAAAAAAAAAAGATTTGTCCAAAATATAACAATGAACAGGCTCCTTCGGCACATATTCTTAGGTGTCTGTGTTTGTCCTATGACAACCTACTAAATTTTCCTATGCTGGTCTATGACTTTTTGAAGGTGAATAAACTCGTGGATCTCGTCTAGCACAAGCTGGAGTCAAGAATTAGCAACAACAACACAAGTCAAATTAAAATCCAAATACAATTTACAAGCCGTCCTGGTGGTTTATAACTGAACCCATAGTATAAACTATAATGATGTTTTGTCGTATTAAAAGTACTACGAAAAAAATACAAAAAAAAAAAAAAAAAAAAAAAAAAATCTGAAAGGTTTCAGATTTTAAATTACGTCCAAAGGGGCGTATTTTAACGTTTTGTGTGTTACCTTTATTTATTAACTATGTTCTTTGCACTTAAACCATAAAATTCAGTTCAATAGCAATATAATAGCAAAATAATTTATAATAAATATAATAGCAAAATAATTTTAAAATGAGCCTATCTTTAGAATTTCCGATAAACAGTTCCGCGCGCTGGAGATAAAAAGGTTTTCCTCCCCGTAGAGTGTTGCTATTGCTCGCTTTGAAATCCTTGAGTTTGTTAATCAAAAATTCGTTAAAATTTTACAAAATATGATCGATCATAAAACAAATTCCAAATTTCAAAGTTGGGCTTTCAGATGTTATTCAAAATTGGATGGGCCTAGGTACTGTTGTTTTATCACAATGCGAGAAACATACATACATACATTCATGCAGATTCTTCATAGTTTAACTTCTTCAAATATAATGCAGAAGTCTAACATTTGGTGGCAACAATTTGAAAAGTGATACGCCGTTTATAGTGATTCGACGCAAAATCGCAAAACGAAAGCGATAGTCTTTCAGGGACAAAGCCCCTTTGGACTAATAAAGCTTTGTTTGTAGCTGAATCCTGGTACTCAAAACATTTCTAACATCAATACTTGGTTGGTCTACAATACTTTTAAAACTCATAAATCAATTACAAGAGCACAGCTATTTGTCTATTTTTGACCATAACAGATACAGCAGCAATTAACGCTCTGCGAGACAGCAGTGATGTGGCCAAACGATCCAAATTCCTACTTTTAAAACTATGTGGCATGGCTTTAAAAATTGGCATAATTTGGCGATCTGAATTCAAACTGGGACATGAGCGAAGTACGATAGGATAGGCTTTGGTAATAATCTACCTATTAGTAAAACTTAAGAATAATTATCGCATACTGTTCATTGAATTACTAGCAAAAGGTTTTACCTGTAACGTTACTGCGTTTAACTTTTCCCATGCTCCACTTTTGTTAACTGAAAACTGAAAAAGTTTGTAGAATCATTAGGTTATATCGACGCAGGAACGGGAAAAATATGCAGTGATCTCACCAGGATTCTAACTCTGTACCTTCAGAATACGCGATGAGCGAACTTCCATTTACACTACGAAGGCATGAAGAAAGGAAGGAGAAAAATGCCTTATATACTCTCCCCCCTTTTAAAGCTCGAATGGGATTAGGGGAACCAAACGCGAAATCTTGATGGTGACGAATATCGTCCACCACCTTTTAGTTCGGGCGCCACTTGTATAATAATTAAATTATATCGAGATAAGAATGTGAAAAATGTGCAGTGCCCTCGCCAGGATTCAAAATCCGGACCTCTCAAATATACGTCGAGGGTGTTTCCGGTAACGCCATGCAAGAAGGAAGAATATACCTTGTATGTTGTATCTGTTAGTATGTGTTGCAGCCTCAACCATAATAGGCACAGACTTAGTTTTCGTACTATTTTCTTTAAAAAAAATCTTTTTGCTTCCTTTACGCGGTGCGCATCCTGTCCATACAATGTTTTTCCCAGGCCATAAAATTTTTGCTTAACTTCCATATTATCGAAACATGCTTTTATGACCGCAATAATACAAATGAATTGAAAAACGTCGGTACTATTTTAATAATACTTTGCAAAAGATGTTACTAACATTGATACCAGTAATACAGTTATAAACACGTGTTTCCAACACCCAGGGCCGTGTATTTTAAAACTTATAAGTTAATCCAGAAATAATAAATTAAATATTAATCAGGTCTATCTTACCTATTCTGAGATGAAATTGCTGCCAGCTGTGCCTATTCATTTCTTGAAGCACATCCATGATTGTCATCGCGAATTTGGTCATGACTAGAACATTCTGAGTACCATCTTCTTCAGGACCAAAACTCTGAAAGAATAAGGCGATTTAAAGTAAGAAAAACTGAAGGCAGATATTAAACATGGATTTTGTGGACACCGTCCACCTAAATATGATGAAATGTAATGAAAGAATAATAACTGTCTGTTTATTCGAAAGCCTGCAAACAGACAGCCCATTGAAAATACATTTTAATGTTTGGAATAATATAGAACTTACCTCATAAGAAGTTCTACTAGAGTTTCTTCCTGGCTGTAAACCAGCTGCAGCCATGTAAGTACTCCCAATAGTTTTTATTTTCTCCAATTTCAAGAATGGCGGTTCATACAGTAACTAAATTTTACAAAAGAGTTTTCACATGAGTTTTTCTACAAAAAACTATTATAACATACAGTGAAAGCATAAAAAAAATTTCAGATGTTGTATTAAATACACAGTTAGCCAGGTATTGAATTAATCGGACACTGTCTACAAAATGATAAATTTGTTTATTGCGAAACGACGGAAAAATTATCATAACTGACCATTAGGGTAAAACAAAACCATCTACGGAAAACAGAAAAAGGAAACAAATTATGTGTAGAATAACAGCAGTGATAGCTAATAAAGGTGCCAGATGAACCGCCAAAAACAGTTCTAATGCCATTTATAACTTATCCTCTGCATTTATTATAACGTTTATTTAACCAAATGAACTTAAAATTCTTTGAAATACAAGTACGCTTTTAATTAAAGTATGCGTTATTACTCTTCCTTTTGTTGTTCTATTTGCCCTCGGATTAAGCATGATTTTGAGAAAAACGTGGATGCCGTTTCCGGTATTACCCCGATAAAGTTGCTGTATATATGCAACATAAAGAGAACCCATTATGCACGGTCTTTCATTAAGCGAATAAGAATTTCTGCAAGAAAACTGTACGAATACATATTTAAAGCTTGGATTTAGGGTTAGATTTAAATTTAGATTTAAGGGTGAGGTCCTGATCCGCCAAGTCAAATCAGTGTGCAACTGTAAGATCATATTGGAACCAGTTCATGCAACTACAAAAGAAGGCCAGAAATGCTTCTTAGACACCACACAGAAAGGAATGTAAACTATCCCAAATTTGAATAACCTAATAATTTAAAAAACTCAGGTAAAGTAGGGTTAGCATTCCTTTCTTTAGACAGGTAGCCTTAGTATGCTTGCCATAATCCAATAAATCCAAATACATCCATTCTAAGAATCAGTCCTGAACATTCAAAAGTTCACTGTTAGAACAAGATCTTCGTCATTGTCCTTGCCACCTTGATCCTTGTTTTCTTCCATGATACAGCCGCCAGCCTCGGTAACAGTTTCATCTGGCCGGGTCTCATTCGTTATAAATTCCCTGTCAACATGAAAGGAATTTTCACCTTCATCTGAATTTTTCGAATGTGTTAAAAATAGGCTTATCATTAAGAAGTTCATCATCATGATCTTTGAATCCCACACATCCAAAATCCAAACCGACCTACTTGAAAGAGTTTGTAATGATCATTAATACAAGTTTTATATACAAAATGAGGAGAATATTAATTGATGTACTTAATTCTGATATCAAGACTCAGAGTACATGAAGCTTTACTTCCCTTCCGTTGATTTTAAAGCTGCACATCAATCATTGATCCATGAATTAAAGGATTCACATAGTGTTGGCAGGCAGGAATATCAGTCTAGTGTTGTTGAGGTTTCCAAATATGATGATAAACTGGGCAATGGTTCACCAGATATAGATTTTCTAATTTCTTTCATACGTAGCTCTCAGACTTCACCGACTAAGTTATTCATGAAAAAAGAAAGAAAAAGGACAACGACATGTAGGCTTAAGATACAATAACACGCCGAACAAGTATTAATTTAGAAGTCAAACAACAAAAATCAACGTTATATTTTGAAATTTTCACAGAACTAGTTTCGATGGTTTTACCGAACCATCATCCTCAGCTACAAAAGCGCACAATGAAATGCGAAAATTTCAAAATATAACGCTGATTTTTGTTGTTTGACTTCTAAATTAAGACATGTAGGCTATTGTTGAATTTTTAATTCACCGTTTGTCGCCTACCATTTTTAGAACATCTAAGATATCAAAATTTTCCTGTTGGAAAAATTGTTTCTTCTCTGACCTTGATATGCTAGTCTATACTTACGAGTTTTTAGTGGTATGTTATTAGTCAATACCTTTTTTAAAACTTCAGTGTTTTTTTAATGATAAAATAGACCGGCCTGATCACCATTGAAGGTATCATCAGACGAACACCTGACACAAATCCGTAGTCATTCCAGTTTAAAGTACCATAGCGTACGTCGTGTTTTTATTTTTACCTGGTTACCATTCTAAACATTCGAATTCTTCTTCTTCTTCTTTTTTTTTTTTTTTTTTTTTTTGTATGTTCAGTAACTTAGCTAATTTCTCATCTTAGGTCTTCAGTACATATCCGTTGAGAAAGAGTCATAAAAGACCTCTGAAACATTCACCACTGAAATAATGCCTTTGAAGCTCTATTCGATCACGTAACTGGTTTTTCACTTTTATTTGTAGTTAAGGTACGCAGAATTAAATTTTCACTTTTCAAGACATTACTCAAGATTAATTTACTGAAGCCATAATTCTGATACACGCCTATATGCGAAAGATGATCTCAGTATCATCGATAACAGTCGACTTATTTACCGAAGAAAACACTTGGTTCGCTCAAAACACACGATTTTCTCAAAACTTGAAATTAAAGTGATGAGGCAGGTACTGATAAATGTCACATTTTCTCCTGCATGCAGAACCGAAAGAAGACTCCTTTCTCAGGATGATTTGGCTATCTTACCAGCAGTTCTGATTTGCTTTAATTCCAGGAAATGGCATTTTTTCATCTCAATAATAGATAGCATTTTGGAGATTGAAGGTTTTGACTTGACGCAATATCTACATTTAATTATTCGTATGAACAACCTTGTTTTTTTTTTAACAAACCAAAACCTTATTTTCTAAACTCTTGAAAGGTGCATGTTTTAAGAACTTTCTGAACGAAATAAATTTCCTCTCCCTTCCCCAGAAAGTAAACTTTCACAATGTTAACGAGGTTAAGTAGGCTATTCTCTTCCTTGACTTCTCAATTGGGGTCCATAAACAATCTTCCACTTGAGCTGTTCCAATGCTTTCAGTTCTTGTAAAACAGAAGCATGATAAGGATGAAGATTTATTTACTACAGTGATTTTAAGTGCATTACCATACGGTGAATCTTTGTTGTATACTAGCACTAATCGATTTCGTTCCTTGAGCAGAACTCGTTTCTTGAAAAGAATCACTAATTGCAGCTTTCATTTACTGAGAGATCACTCTGCAGAATAACAGCACAGAAACGGGACTTGCTCAGAGGGACTGTTTAAATAAGCAGGTACTCAGACAACTAAAAAAGATTGATGAATAACTCATTCCAGAACTCCAGAGAACTAATGAGTCGTGCGCTAATGTGTTAGGAGAAATAACCACCTTTTCAACTTATTCTGCATTTTTTAAGATTTTCAATCTTAGTTTTTAATTCACTGCAGTCAAAGTCAAGGCTTCACTATAAATGAAAATCTGAATATACCTTGTGATGTGGACGGTCACCAATGAGTCACGTTTATTATAGCTGAATGTTCACTTGAGAGTTGATCAAGAGTTGATCTTGTTTAGTTTGGTTAGGTTGATTACGGCAAAGCACACGAGGGCTTTCTGTCTAAGGGAAGGGATACCTTCGTGGAGGACTTTCTAAGGGTAACTGGCTCGTATACAGGCTATAACATGGAGAAAACCACGATAACGCCCCTGCAGTCAGCCGGTTCACGTCGGACTGAACTACCAGTGTTCAGCGACTTTACCAGTTACCGCTCGGCCGCCAGTGGTCTGATTCTACGTGTAAAGAATAATAAATTTACTTTTCATTTTAAAGTTTTAGACGAAGTTGTGTTTATTCCATCATTGTGGGGGCTATTATATCTTACATTTCTTTTTTATTTTGCTTCAAAAATAGAAACATTTCTGTTTCTGTTCTGTTCAAACTGTAAAGAATAAACATGACGTAAGGACCCAGAATATATTTAACATATTTTTGCTCCACGATAAATGTGACACAAAATTTTCAAAATGTTCCTGAAGTATAACAATTCCACCCCTTCCTTGCACAAATTATTCTGAATTACCTTTCGTCAGAACTCGATCAAAATTTCGAACTTTTTAATTTAGTAGATCACATTATAAAATTCTACTGTAGAACATTTGGTTAAATTTTTGGCCATCGGCCTATTATCTATCCCAAAGTTTTATGTTACTACCTGACTGTTTAAAAAATTTGTGGTCCAATAGCAACAAACTGATTCAAGCTATTAAATTATTTACGGTAGTTATATTTTAAATTGTGAAAATTATACACTTCTCACAGTACCTTGTCGAAGTCGCATATAATTTCGTGCAATACTTGAAGGCATTTCCGACCCTCATCGTTAAGAAGAGATTCGCTGTAAAAGTCCATGTAGTTGGGTATAGATGCAAACATGACGGCCACAGAGCTGTACTCTTCATGATATAAGTCCAACTGAAAAATAACAGAAAATAGATAATCTTAATTAATAATTCAAGTGTTTTTAGCAAAAAATGAAACAGAAGACTCTCGATCATCTGGAACGGATTAATCAGTTAGTGGATTAATCGGGTTTTTAATCTTGAAAAATAAAATACTAAGTTTGTTTATTGGGGAATGATAAAAAATTACTATCAGAAGCCATTAGCATAAGACAGAACTACATACAGAAAATAAGAGGTGAACGAAAATTTGCGCATACCGTGCAAAAATAAAAAAATAAAAAAATTAAAGCAAACTAAATTACAGACATGAGCTAAATTCAAAGACGATTATTTTACGAAATATTAACAGCAAAAGTTTGATCATAGTCACCAGTAAATGCTCAAAAAGGAAGTCTTTTCCTCGAATTACATATGTTTTCGAAAATTTGAGGCCACCTTTCCCAATGAAAGAATGCTTATTGTTTCTAAATTTTATTTTCAGCATTTGCTATAAAGTGTGAAAGATATGTGCTTAAGATAATCACTTAAAGATACATACTTGTAAGCATTCCTACAGAAAGAAATTCGGGTTGACGCGCTGAAATGCAAGTTTACAATAGTATTGTAAAATTCCGTGTTAAATATCTTGAATAATGGCAAGAGTATTCAAGAATTTGTGAAATATTTTTTAGCATACAATCTGCTGTGTGGAGCATCTCAAAATCGTGGGTGGATGTGTCTCCAGATACTTTAAAAAATGCTTGGCATAATTCATGGCCAAATACTATATTTCAAGGTGAGAATGAAGATGATAGTCGAGAACTTGAAGGTTTTCAGATTTAAAATCACGTGACCGTGAGAGCCGCAGTCTTTTCAAAAGGAAGCTGTCAGGGAAAAAAAAAAAAAAAAAAAGACGTTGTCTCATTAGACATATAGCAGATTGGTGAAACCAGCAAAAGCGCTCATCCTCTTCAAGAAATGGAAGAAATTTCTGTATGATGTCAATACACATAATTCCATCTGTTGTCTGTTCTAAACAAAAGGGGAAGAGGGGGCTGTATTTTTTGGTATAGCCGCAGAGCATCCGCCGTTACAAATTGAATGGTTGCAGTCTTTCATGATACACAAACGAATTTTCTCTGTTCGTATTCCTGTGCTTTGGCTGTTAACATAGCCACTTAAATGAAAAAGTTTCATCTGTAAAAAGCACAGATTCTCTTCTCAGTTAGGGTCCATAAACAATCTTAACCTCAACTAATACAGTGCTTTTATGTGCATGCTAGACGATAAATTTAATTGCGATGCCAGCTTTCTCACACTGTTTGTTGGTAAGTTAAATTTAAATTTAAAATATTAAGATGTATTTTTATTGCATTTACCTCGATTTCAGGTCTCGTCGATGATAAATGGATGATACAGTTAAGTAATTTAATACAACGGCTCAAAATTTTTGAAAAATCTCCGGTTAAATACGTTTTTAACATCAAAAATAAACTTTCTAGTTGCTCATCAAATTCAAAGCCAGATTAAAAATACACATCACTGTTCATAAATCCTAGGTACACATGGATAGGGAATACTTTCGATTTTGCTTCGGTACGAGAATTACACTTTCCGTTTTAAGATGTTCATTTTACTTCAGTAACTTTTATAATACAAGAATTTATTTCATATTGTCCCAAACGTTTTCCTACTTGCGTAATGTTAAATCTTCTCACATAAGACCTTTTTCCTGAAAGATTTTCCCGCTTAGAAATTTGCACATTTTGAGCAACTTTTTCTTCCGTCAAAAACTATATTTTGTCTTTATATTTTTAAAGAAATTACTGTAGAATACATTTATATTCCCATACTTTGATACTTATCTTTAGGCTGATGTCAGCGTGAATTTTAATATATCTCCAGCTTGAAGTAGAATCGGAAATCATCAATTTTGCTTTCTGAATAGTGGTGACTTTTCCTCTTGTTTTCAATGCTTCTAGACCAGTGGTTTTCCAACTTCGTCAACTCACGGAACCAGAAATGAGCCCACTCATTTCAGGGAACGAATCATTCTGATCCGATCCCATAAAATAGCAGTTTTGCCCATCTCTTTGGCAAACCTTCTGATTTATGGTAGTACTCGAACAATTTTTTATCCATGATACTTAGATTTCTCTTCTAGAAAATATTCTCTTCCTGTTTTCTTCAATTGTAAAAGGTGCTCTCTTATAAAAATTTTATAACTGTCATGTAAATGTAATACATTTTCTATCAGAAAACCGTTTAGCTTTAGAAAGCATAGCACGCCATTCTCTTTGACATATGTTATATGATTTTATTTTGACTTAAACTCAGGGTTCCGTGGAAGACAGTTTGACGACCACTGCCCTAGACTGACCACCTGTCACTTGTTACAATAGTTAATAAGATCACTAGGTGAATTAGATGTTTCAGGTGATGAGGAAATCCATTAAGTTTCAGTCGATTTAGTTTCATCTTTGTTTTATAATAGGTAGAGCAGAAATAAAGAATGCGTAGAACGGGAAAAAGATCACTAGTTCAAATTTCCTATCTATTTTAAAGCGATATCGTATATCTTCAGATAATTTTTTTACAAAAAATGATTAATGGATGTTTTTAATTAAAAATAAAACTTTTGAATGATGAAAGATATGAAGGAAAAAATTCTAGAAAGTCCATAAAAAGCGCAGATTTTATAATGAATAATTAAATAAAATTTAATGAACTAAATTTTATAATTAAGTTAATTGAAATTTAATGAATTAAGTTTTAAAGGGACAGGTTCAACTAATGAGCGGTCATATTAGCGAAATTAAGTCATATTAGTTTTATGTAAAAATAACTTACATCAAGGTGCATAGACTCTTTCGTGAGATAATACTGTGCTACATGAACTGGGAGTATGTTTTGCAACAGAGTTCTGTTTACGAGACCCATTGTGGTGGCTTCTTCTTGCTCTTTCCTGAGCTTCCTCTTCCACAAGTAATCCAGACGACCAATATACTCTACCTGCGAGGAAAAAAAATCACATATTTCTTCAATAAATTAGTAAGAACTGAAATTTATACTGATATCTTAGAGAATTTTCATTTATTATTATTATTATTATTATTATTATTATTATTATTATTATTTTGCATTTTAAAATGACTTATATTGAATTTAATGAATGCAATTATATTTAATAATGAATACAAAATACAATAGCAATATTCTCGTCACATTCGTGTTCAAAATTAAAAGAATTTTCGTATTATATCAAATTTCTGAAAACTTAATGGACAGATTTTAATGAAATTTGGTATAAGTTTATAACAGACAAAGAGATGTACTATTCAAAAGTCATTTTATGTACCCATGATTATCAATAAAGCTCACAGTGCAGGGATGTTCAAAACCCACACTGTGTTCACACTTCTAGGCCATTGTGATATCGAACCGAAAATATGTCTAATCAGCTTAGATCTTAAATCAGCCTTTGATTCATTATAGTGGACCTCAATTAAAGAAGCACTTAGAACTATTGAATATCCGTACATTATCTATCAAATTATCAATAATCTTGATAATCTTGAATATCTTGATAATCGCCATAGTCACATTTTATGCAACAATACTTTAATCAGCAGAAAACAAGTTCGTGGATGTCCACAAGGCGCATGAATGAGCGCAGAATTATGGAATATTACATTTAATAATATTATAAAAATTGCCTGGCCTCCTTTTGTAAGATCTATCTCTCACTGTCCAGATGCATAAACTTAGATCCTACGATGAACCTGGCGAATTCTCGCACAGGCGTGAAATAAATACCAGCACAGAAAAAAGGTGAAAATAACCCTTTATTAACTCAAACTTAAAATAACAGACAGCACGGACTTCGTGCTTTACAAAAACCACCGTCCACTTGCGGCGATAACTTAAACGTAGACGCGAATACAAAATCAAATCTGAAAAATAAAACGAGTGCAAGAACGCACTTCAAAATTACTCCTAAGAGGTGGACTCACAGAGATCTAACCGGCGTCATACTAAACTGTAAACGGCCAAAGGGCCTAACTCGAGTGACCGCGAAAAAAAAACGAACGTGAGCAGTAGCAAACCCTCGATAAACGAGATAATCCACGTAATGACTTCCTAACTAATTCTCCTGCGGGAGGAGGAAGTTTGAGAAGGGAACAGGTAAACTTAAAATAAAGTTGTTATGCATTAAGAAAAACCCTATATTTGGTAAAATTACTGCTTTCGCCGATGATGTCGCATTTGTTATCAGTGGAAGGTCCCATTTAATCCGAAGAATTTGTCAAGAAATAATAACCATATTCCATCAAGAATGCAAGAAACTTAAATTTGAAATTTCAACCTCCAAGTCTAAAATCATGACAATTCATAAACGTAGACAAAATCTTACTAAAAACTCAAGTATACTAAATCAATCAAATACCTAGGAAAAATTAATACATCAAAACAAAATTTTATCGAATATCTCAAAGAACTTAAAATTCGTACACATTCTATAAGTCAAAATCTTCGACATGTGCATGGCACAAACTGGGGTTTAAATCGCCATATCACCAAATTACTATATCGTACAGTAATAACCAAAATTATTACATACGGCTCTGCCATCTGGCCATTCCCTATAACAACAAGAAAAGAAAAAATTCTTACCTCAACACAACGACAATTTACGCTTAATATTACCAGAGGCTTTGGAACTACCTCCAGTACTGCTCTTAATATCTTAGCTGGAACTATTCTACTCCATGTGGAATCCATTCAAGAAGCAATTTATTCTACAATATATCAACTTCGCCATAATATTACTTATAACAAAACCATATACATCACAGAGGATTACGAAATGCGCCCTGCTCCTTACAATAGACATCTCCTGCTGTATCACACCCAAAAATGAAAACATCAATAAAAACTAAAACTAAAAACAATTCAACTGAAAAAACAAAAAAAGAAATAAATCAATTGAAGTAATTTAATATTAGAATATTATAGAATCAAATATTAATACTGACCGTCAATCTGCCATCTATGCTATCTCTAACCCAGAAAATCAGTCTTTTATTGCTCATGACATCAATAACCTCTCTAAGAAACAGATAATTTAAAAATTCATATATCATGGATAAGAGGCCATAGCAGAAATGCCGGTAACGAAACATTCGACAAACTTGCAAAGAAGCTGTTCCTAATCAAGAAAGCAATTTCCTATATACGAAATTTCCCAAATCTTATCTTCGATTCTCCATAAAAGAACAAATTACCCAAATATGCCAAGAACAATGGAATAACGCATCTACAGGTCGACGAAATTACTAGTTCTACCCCTATTGCAATACTGACACCAAGAGTACAAAATCCTTTTTAACATGTAATATTACTGGCCATGGGCCATATCGTGTTTATTTTCGTCAAAGAAACTTAATAAACACTGACTTCTCTGTATATGCTGCTAGAAAGGAGACAGTGATCACTATCTTTTCTCATCTCCTCTCAAGAAAACGTATCCTGTTCGCGCACCCAGAAATATTGATATATCATTCAAAAGAACGATCAGAAAATTTCAACATGTTCATTCTAATATGAAACAAATTCACCAAAACTTAACACAATTGGATTAAATCCATGCAGAGTAACCCCATCTACAACAGACGAAATATAACAAAATATTTAATTTTCACCCTTGTAGAATTTTAAGATAATTATCGATCTTTGTCACAAATACTTATTTCTACTGATCGTAATAAAAAAAGCCTTGCAAAATCCATAATAAACAGAATGAAATATAAAAATTGAGTCGTGAGAGTAAACTAGAACTGAATAGGTGAGTCATGATACTGATTTGCTGTGTCGTGACAAAAATGAGCTATGAATATTGTATGAATCATCATGTAAAATATATGAACTTAAACGAGGAACTTTTTATGATCTCTCTAATCATGAACACTTTACTGACTTATGAACTCTGCCTAATGAATACTGAAAACTATTTGAGATCATGAATTCTAAAATACAATTTTATTCTCTTCTACATGTTATACTTATATTTTATTAATTTTATTATATGATTCATCATGTATTATCCTATATTTTAGCACTTTATTCAAAATTATAATTTATTATATGTATTATGTACTTTCACTTTATGTATTAGCTATATTTATTTTCATATTTTAAGTATTATTCTGTATTTTCATGATATATTCTGTTTTAGCATTTATTCCAAATTTGGAAAATTCAAAATTTTGTTATAATGGCACATGTGTTATTGTATATTATGTATTATTCTATATGTATTTGTTTCCGTTTTTTTTTCTATATTAAGAATTATTCTAAATTTGTCATATGATATATTCTATACTAGCTTAATGTAAAACTCGTTTTATTAGATTTCCCTCCTTTCCTAACGGTACGAAATTTTGAGATCTGGTCTCATTCGGTGGGCTAATAATTGATTTACCAACTACAGAGTAACCCTATAAGGCATTTCTCCCACTTCTCTAGCGTGCCTTCGTGGTGTAACGGTAGCACGCGGGGCCGGTATTCCAGAGGTCCGTGGTTCGATCCCCGGCGAAGCCTGTTGCATATTTTTTCATCTTTTCTGCTTCCAATTAACCTAATGACTCTACAAGTGGTGCCCGAGCTAAAAGGGTTGTGGATGATGATTCTCCTCACCCAGGATTTGGCGACTAGGTCCCCTAAAACCCTAGTCGCCCTTTAAAAAGAGGAGTATATAAGGTATTTCTCCCCTAGCGTGCCTTCGTGGTGTAATGGTAGCACGCTGGGCCGGTATTCCAGAGGTCCGTGGTTCGATTCCCGGCGAATACGGTTGCATATTTTTCATCCTTACTGCTTCCAATTAACCTAATGACTCTACAACCTCGTGTCATGGTCTTTCCTCCTGTCTTAATAGTAAACTTCTAAACCTCCCTCTAAAGGACTATCATCAGCTTTATTCTTCTTCTGTCCTTACCCCTTTGCTCTATTCGGTTAGTGATTGGGAGCTATACCTGTGCTATCTTTAATGAAGTTCTAGTGCTCCCAACACTTTTACCTGTACCTGTAGCAATCCTAGGTCGCAGCACTGAAAGCCCAAATAACGATCCTCATTCGTTGTTGTGGATCTTGGTCGACCTCGACCAGGTCTTATCGATATGGATCCAGTGTTCTGAAACTGTTTCCACAAATTGCGGACGACACTGGACGTTACACTGACCTCTGTAGCTACCTGCGCTTGTGACGGGCCTACTTCCAATATACTGACGATTCTTCTTCTATCATCGATACGCTTGTGGCTACTCATTTCACCTGATACCTCATCAAATTTACCCAATTCTTGCCAGAAACACGGCGAATGTCGTTAAGGAGTACGGGCACACAAATCCCGAAAGCCCGGCGTCTTCTTTATATCCCCTCCACAATCACAGCTCCGCAGATACGCTAGTGTACGCTTACGTATACAACTCTGAATATTTGCATTATTCCATGGTGGCATAATTAGTATCTTTGGTTCAATAATTTTTGTAAAATTATGCATAATTTACAGATTTTCTTAATTTTGTATTACGAGTGTAGTTTCAAGATGAACTCAGATATTTCATTGGGTGGACTCCTTTTTTTTTATTGTAAAGATAATTCACAAGAAAGTTGTTCCTGGGGGTTAAACTGTAAAAGTCATATTTTTAAAGACTGACTGCTGGACGTAATTTTGCGCGTTAGTACTGAAAAGCTCAATCTAGTAAGTAGTCTCTGCTGAACTACAATGCATTTTCTTACGATTCCATTCTCATTAAGTAGTTTCTAGCAAAGAAATGTTTGACAATTTTTAGCAGATTTGACATCTGGAGATTACTATCTTTTTAGTGAAGTGAAGTCTAACCTCAGACGTCATTTTTTTAACAGCAGTGAAGAGATTCAGAAAATTGTAACTGGAAACTTAAAAAGGTCAAAAGATGAGTTCTACAAACAGTCTGTCTTGCGTTATAAAAACCTATAAGTATTGTACATTCAGGGTTGGTAAGTATCCAGTCTGTCTGATCTTGGATATTAGTAGCTATACCATATCAGTCAAAAGAGCCTTCAAAACTAACTGGCAAATTTTTGCCAAAGCTCTAAACAACATTCAGTACACTATTTCAACAGTCCACACGGGGAATGACATTCAGAGTTTAGTCAAGGGATTCACCTGCAATATTCAAAATGCATACGAAAATGCCAGAGTGGAGCTCAAGGATGAGAAGCCTGTTAGATCTAAGGAGCTGAATGATCTAATCAAAAGACGTAATGCTGTCAGGTGCCAGTTCCAAAGAACAAGGAACAGACAGGATAAAACTGTTTTCAATAGATTGTGTGATACAGTCAAGTCTCGTACTATTATGCATAACTCCGCTGGGCTGTATACCTTGAGTCCCTTTCCAAGGATGACAATTCCATCTGGAAAGCAGTTAAAAGGTATAAAAAATGCTACAATAATATTCCGCCCTTTAAAGGCCCTCAAAGGATCCATTACAGTGAAACTGAGAAGGCAGAACGTTTCGCTCAGCATCTGGAATATGATTCTGCTACAGAACAATTAATTGCTGACTTTCACAACAATTACACAGCAAGCCCACACACAGACTACACGATCTCAGTCATGCCATCAGAAGTCTGCGCTTATGTTAAAAAATTAAAAAACAACAAGAGTCCTGGACTCGACGCTATTAACAACAGGATGATTAAAAGATTTCCGATCAAGACTCTCCTCTACTTCACCAAGATCATCAACATTATCCTGAAGTGGCAACACTTTCCGAACTCTTGGAAGGTAGCTAAGATTACTCCTATTCTGAAACCTCATAAGTCTGCCTGCTTGCCAAAATCATACCGGCCAATTAATTTGCTGTCATCTTTAAGCAAAGTTATGTAACCATGTTATCTATCTATCTATCTATCTATATGTTATCTATATATATGGAAGCGGTTTTGCTGTCAAGAATTAATGAACATCTGGAGCAAAATAATATTATTATACCCTACCAGTTTGGGTTTAGAAGTAAACATTCAACTGTTACTCAACTGTACCGGGTTGTCGAATATATAAGTGAAGGGTTTCAGCAAAAAAAGATTACAGGATGAATATTTCTGGACATAGCAAAGGCTTTTGATCGTGTATGGCTAGACGCACTCATATAAATGAGTTACACAACCTGGGTTTCCCAGATTACATCACAAACATAGTTAATTTCTACCTAACAGGTAGACACTTTGTCGTTCAAGTTACAAACGCCACATCCACACGTAGAACCATCCTTGCAGGCGTACCACAGGGTAGTATGCTTGGACTCACTTTATTTAATATATTTGTGAACGACACTGACATTATCACTGACAACACCACACTTGCAATGTATGCTGACGACACTGCGATCCTTACTCAAAGTGCATCTCTCAGCCCAGCTATACAACGGTTACAGGATTACATTAACATTCTAGAGACTTAAATGAATAAAGGGAAGATCTAAGTCAACGTAGATAAGACGCAATCTATTTTGTTCACGAAAAAGACCAAATTCAACAAAAAACTACAGTTTTATGGACAAGAAATCCCATGGGCCAAGCAAGTCCTTTATCTAGGGGTGATCCTCTGTAAAACTTTCACATGGACCTCACACATTACATTTATCATGCAGAGGTTTCGAGTTAGTAAAGTTACACTCCACCCCTTAATTTCTCAAAACAGCCTACTTTCAATAGATAACAAGTTGCTCATTTATAAAACCGTTTTGCGTCCCATCTTGTGTTATGCTTGCCCTGTTTGGGCTTACCCGTGTAGAACTTCGAGAAAAAGTTTGCAGCGAATGCAAAATCTTGTGTTTCGGTAGATTACTTTTTCACCGCTGTATATTCACAATAGAAAGTTACACGAGGAGCTTAGACATTATTACTGCCGGCTTGCCCGGAACTTTTTTGATAACCTTCCTAATATTAACAGCCCAGTTATTCGGGTCTACAATTACGACGTGAATAATGTGCAAAACCTCAGGCGGCCGATGGCCATACTGGCTAGTAATATTGATGAATTCTTTTACTGTATGTTTTCATTGTATGACTTGTGCTAATATGTTTTTCCTTACTCATTCTTTTATGCACCATGAGACTCACACTTACTCTATTTCTTGTGCCTTGCTAGTTTTTTAGTATTGTTTTGTCAGTTTTTCTAGTTTATGGGGGGGAATATTAAAAAAAAATGTTAAAAAATATCTATATATATGTATATGTATTAAAAATAAAAAAAAAATCTTAAGTATGTACTCATTCGATCTATGTTAACTGTAGTTATTGCCTTTGATATAATTCGCAACAGCGTACCTGTTCTACAAGGGGTAGGGTTCACGATAACCCAGGCACCCTGGTGCTACACCGTTCCACTGGAGGTTGATAAATAAGAAAGTTGTTTTCTTCAACTTTCGATTTTCTATGAACTTGTTCCTAAAACTTTGTGGCTTCATTGTGCAATTAGAAAGAGTAACTGATCCGTCTGCTTACCTGTCTGTCCAGCAGATGCAACGTGAATAATGTGACTAGCAAACACCAATATTGGTCGACGCCTCTTGGAACTTGATCCCTACGGAAGACATAGTTATTTAAAAATGGAGCAATTCTTTCCCAAGTGTTATTAATTACTTAAAATATGTAGTAAATGTTCATAAAATTTTTAGTTCGAAACATTATGAATTCAATATATTTTAATTTATATCATGAATAAAATATAGATATAAAACTTTTCAAGAGCATTCACTGATTTAAATCCCTTAATAGTTAAACCAGAGTTTTTCAACTTTTATTCACTTTTGTAAATTAGAAATGTTCTGCGGACCACTTTATGCTTGTCCACTTCGAGATAAAATTCTTCCAGTATACTTCTAGCTTTAAAATAAAATTAACTAAAAATAATTTAATTTTATATCGATGTTAATTAAAGTGACAGATGAAAATTGGTAATCGTTTTTAATAATCCAATACTACAGTTTGGATAATCTTATTCACTGAAAATTAAATAAATGTTGGTACTCACATTAATGTATTTCCTTTTCTCATGCAGATATATATAAAGATTTTTCTCCCACGGATACGTAGAAGCAAGCTCAGTTATAATTCTTCGAACTCAATTATAGAATTCATTATCTTTCGTTTTCATTGAGATTAAGCCCAGCGGCAGAAGATGAGCAGCAAAACGATGGCGAGAAATACCACATCAAAGTGCTTCAGATCTCACTTTTGTTGTTAAGCCTAGATTGGGATGCCCATAGTTGGAACCGGTAATAAATTTCATAAAAAAAATGTCACTCTTAGGAGAAAAATGATAGATAATTGCTGTGTGATACTTCCAAACTCTGAGAAATGTTTGACAGTTTTCAGCTATAATTGGCTATAGTTAACTTGAATTTCCTTTTTATGTTTTTTGGAAATCTAGAAGGCCCACAAGAGCAAACTTCGCGGACCACAGATTGAGAAACGCTGTGCTGAAACAACTACAACCGAAATGTAAATGAAATGTCTTATGTCACATCAAATGGCAACACGATTGAAACTGGCTATTTGCTAAACCATATGGAAGATGTTTCTTGATTTTCGAACACGGCTTTTGTTAGGTTGCGGCTATAATAAATAGTATGACTGCATAAACATAACATAGCGTAAAGGTTCCAGAATTTGAAAAGACTCCATTAATGATGTTTCTAACGTCAAGATGCTCATATAATATTGAAAGAACATCAGTAAGATTTCCTTATTAAACTGATTAAGGGCATTAAAATAAAGATCTGTTTCGATTCCTGGCAAGAGTACAATAAATTTTCGAGCAATATCCACGTGTAATTTTTTTTAACATTTCTACAATTTTAATAATCAGTTAAAGTCCATTCATCGAGAATTCAGACCGAACACGTTTGATTTAGCAATATTAATGATGTCAAGCTACGCAAATACATGCCAAGCAAATACTCCATTGTTTTTGTTTGAGATCTGAACGCTTTTTTTAGTGCTTTAAATTATATCGTCTTTAAATATTTAGAATTTTAAATTATACTAACAAATATATAATATTTTAAATTACAATCGTTGAAACTAACAAAAGAAAAAAAAAAAAAAGAAAAATATCATTATTTAGAACTCGTGGTTTAAAGCGCTGCCATTTTACTAATAGAAATGCTTAGAATAAATAATGTTCTATATCCTTTCCGTTTGATTACTGCAATGACTACCAGTCATTCTCGGACGCCAATTTACTTTGTTAAAGCAACAAAATTATAGAAAGATATTTTTAATATAAATTATTATTATTGTATAGTATTTTTTAAATATAAATAATGTTTTTTTTTAGACATCGACAGTTAAGTAAAAAAGCGAAAAATGTGGCAGGCTTGCAGAGAATTCATCTCTTTCGTTTATTTCCCTTCTGGATTGGATTATATTAGGGCAAAGCTTATGAGGCTATCTGCCAAATAAAAAGGATGGCTTCGTGGCAGACGTTAAGAGGATCTGGCTCATATTCACGTTAGATATTGAAAAAGCAACGTAATGTTCTATGCAGTTAGCCCGTTCGCTAGAGTTTAATCACATTCCCGATTACTTACAAGTGATATTTGTACTGAATACGAACTTCCTCAAATAGCTCTGATATTCGCATGTCTGGCGGATTATTGGGGTTTTATTGTATTTGTTTTAGAGGTTTATATTGCTTTACTTATTCAGATAAAAAAAAAAGTGCGCAGAGGCTATCAACCTGTGAGCTGTCGTGGACGACAGCCTAAGACATCGGGTTGGTATTCACATTATACATGGGACGAAAAGACGACACCTTCCTTACAGCCGCTAGTTTTGTTACTTAGATGTGCTAAATTAGCAAGATGCCTGAATTGATACTTGCTTAAGCAGATGTTTACAAATGTTGGTACGCTATAAATTCACATTCAGTCATAGTTAAAAAAACACAAGAGACTTAAAATTATCAATTCAGAATTATATAAATCACAGTATTTTCCAGTTTTTATTTCATCAAATCTATTATTGATTAAAAATGAGTCATTTCAAGGAATTAATAAATTTAATTAAAGTGAGGGAAAAAAATCTTTTTACCTACCAATCTTGGATATATGGCTTATTGAAGAGTTCCGTCTTCGAATGAATAATGTATGAGAAAGCAGCGACCAATGTTCCATTTACCAGCAGTTTCATGAGAAAATGTATCCGCAGGAACACTGATATTGAGATCATTGACAAAATGGCACACCATGTAAAATACTGTAACACACATAGAAATAATCAAAAATTAGAATACTACATTGGTTCTTAAATTCTTTATGGCTTACAAGTCACCCAATACATAAACATCCCGATTTTAGAATAAATTTTCCCTCAAATAATTAAAAATTCGTGTAACTATTAGAAGGGAAATTTGCTGTTTTAGATAACTTTTCGACTCAAATTTTCGCTCGAACTTAAATATCAGAAACCCTCTCGCAGGTGATTTTTTCTCTCTGAACAAAATAAACTCTCTTCAGGTGTTCGTGTCATTCGTCATCGTTTCATGACACATATTTTGAAGAAACCCACTTCACATAATCTTTGACGCAGCCGTGAAAACGGCTGACGGTTCCGAGTATGTCTCATCAGCTAGTACTCCCGATACAGGAGCACAGCGATGCCCCATTAAAACCAGAAGCTTAAAACCTCAATTACATTATGTTTCGGCTACGCGAGACTTGACGTCGAAAGAAACAATTCTCAGAATAAGCACAATTCCAGGAAACCCACGTAGCTAGTTACCATTTTCACTTACTACAAAGTCTTGAACGCCAAACACTAATCGATTATCGCTCAGATTGGGATCACGGGATGCTTCAGAAGCAGAACTTTCGTCTGATTGGTTGTCTCTACCCGGGACAGAGGTCCAGCTGAGACATTTTCAGTGAGGTTTGAAAAAAATCATGCGTAGCCGCAACATAGTTTCCTTAGCTAGGCGGGACTTTGCTTCAGGCTGGGCTCTTTTTTCTAGAAATCCTCCCGTTTAAACCAGTGCTACCAGTATCTCGTTTCTCAAAAAAGTCCCGTCTAGCAGAGACTGTAGCCAAGTGTGATAACCTCTTAATAAGCTAGATTAGATTACAACTCCTTAACATTTTTCTGTAAAATATACAGTATGCAACATAATCATAATGCAAATAATTGCACATAAATAATTTAAAGATAACATTCAGACTGAGCAAAAGTTTTGAAAACAAGCAGTTTATTAGATTTATGTTTTACTGTTTTATTATTATTATTTTTAATTTTAGAAATATAAACAAGCTTTCAGAAACAAAATCACGTATTGCAATTGAACTTAAATAATGCGATGGTTGCGCTTGAGGCTTTGACGCAGGTTTTTTAATATTTGGCATAAAATTGCTTAACTTAATCATTAAATCCCTTCGTACCAAAATATCAACTTGTTTCTTGTTTCCCGTAGTAAATTGTTGACTTGAATCAAGCCCACTTCCTTAAAAGTAAGATCACAGAAAAGTGAATGTTAGTTTGGTGTCGGCTTTTACTTTGAGGTATTTCTCTTAAATGAATTTTAGATTAAAAAAACTTACCGTACACATGAGTTTTGAATAAGATTTATGCTTGAAAATCCTCCCTCAATGCAATCAGATCTTCTTGCATCATAATATCAAGCTCAAATATATTGCAGTTCTGTGTACCATGCTCGTATTTTCAAATTTTTAGTATTCAGAAAGCAAATATTTTTTTTCAAGCGCCTTGTACATATGCAATATAACTTCTGAAGAAGTTTTGCGCTCTTCGTATCTTTTTGGTCATGTATTATTGTTTCACTGCGTTTTACATTCTTATGCATTGCTATTCTTATTCTATTCTTATGCAATTCTTGCATAAAAAAATTGTATATTTGGAAAAATTATTACTGATTTAAAAAATATACTAAATGATTTTTATATATTTCTCTTTATATTTATTTTATACGATTTCTTCCTTACTATTTGATATTTCAATATTAATAATTATTTGATTAACGGAGTCTTGATTTTTGTGATCAATAACGTGCATATTTGGCTATCGACTATTTGATCATCATTGACATCTTTAAAAATTTAACGACCCCCAGACGTTATTCTTATTCCGTACCAACTCCGTTGAGAATCCCTTGTGATAGCTACATATCTGCTAACTCTGTTATTTGGAAAAACAATTATCCTACTAACACGAGTGGTTGTCGAATAATGTTTCCCCTACGCTGACGTTTTGCTGGTTTCCTAATAACTCTCTCTGTGGCGTTACGACTGCAATAACGAACCTGCATTATTATCTGATCCCGACTCGTTCTTTGAATACCTTATTCGTCCCATAAGTTTGTACACGCGGTAGCTAGTCACCCCTTATATATGTGGATCGGGATATTCCGCATTTTGCAGTGTGGATTGTGAGGATAAAAAGTTCGAGAAACACTAAAATAATGCATCAAATAGGATGTATCAGAACTAAATTTTGACTGATTTAGTAACTTTGTATCATATATATGGCCTGATTCGTGATTTTGGTATTTACGCGAGGTTCAGAAATACTGAGTCATTGGTTTGGAAAAGATCCTTAACTTAGCAGTCCAGCACTTAGATAAGATAAAAGCGGAATTTAAAGCGCTTTTGCGTCAACAAATCATGATGGCAAAATCCAGCGACACGCATGCAGTAGACTACTAAGGGAACATATGTGACAAAACATTTATGATAGCCTCCCAAACCATTGACGAGTGACTTCCTATTATTTGTATTTCTTGGTATCATCTGAACATACAAAAATTCTGTGGTACTGCTACCAGACGACTTGCGAGATGAGCACTGCACTTTCCGAACCCCCGTCACGTTCAGCTGACCAGACAGCACCACCGACAGTGGCTGTAATGAGTCTCAATTAACATGGTGTATTATTTAGTAGAGTAGTGTTGGATTACAAGGATGACACTTAGCTCTGCAGTTATATCTACCCTGGTAAAAATGGAACAGTGTCTAGTGAATAAGTGGAAGTACAGTAATAGTAAATCTGCCCTTTCAAAAAGGGATTTATTTGTGTCCATATCCAATAACTGTTGGCGGGAATATTCGGGTATGCAGTGTTGGATTTTTGTTTGCACAGGACCAGCAGGTGAACGCAGGATGCCAAGTGATCAATGCATGGATATTATATTCTTCTGGAAAGCTACACAACTTCCACATCAAGATCCATTTGCTTTGATTGACAGACAATTTTGGTATCCTTCCCACTGTACTCGTCATAACATAGTACATTGAGGACATTCTGTGACTTGTGTTACGGACCTTATTCCAGCATCTCCAAAGCGTTTTCAGCGAAACAAAGGTCACCGACATAATGAAACGTGCTTCTAGGACATTCTAATTGCGACATTTTTCCATGTTTAGCACGACCGCCTGTCCTCTCGCTCCTCGATCGAGCATGCCTGTAACTTTATCGAATGCTGAACTCGGTAGATCCTTTGACATTGAAGAAAGAAAGCAGCTTTTTTTATTATTATTTTACCCTGAAAGGAACACTAAATTACCTTGATTTGCAATTCACATTCGCTTTTTAAATTGGGGAACTGATGAAAGTATTTTGATTTAACTAAAAAGCTGACTTTTTATTCTGCGCTAGCAGAAACACTTAAGAGCACATTTGTAGAGACATTAGGTTATAATGATGCAGGAACGTGAAAAGTGTGCAAGTGTAACCGGGATTCGAACTCCCGACCTCACTAATACGCTTCCAGTTACACTACGATTCCCGTTACACTAGGCAAGCCTGCTAAAAGGAGGGAGAAAATACCTTATATACTCCCCCTTTTAAAGGGCGACTGAAGTAAGGGCCCGAGTCGTCAAATTCCAGCAGTGACAAATTATGATCTTTTAGTTCGGACGGCATTTGTAGAATCAGTAGGTTATATCAATGAGAGGAAACTGCAGAAATCTGCAATAGCCTTCACCGGGGTTCGAACTTCGAACTTCCCGAATACGCGTAGGATGTGTTTTCGGTTACATAACGCAGGCATACGAAAAGAGGGGAGAAAATAACTTATACAGTTTAGATTAATTTAGTGCCGTACATTCCACAGATTCTAGCCATTCATTAACACATTTGTTCTTATCTACGAGGATATTCGTAGTTAGCAAACTGAGTTTACTTTCCAACTACGAGATAACTCGTCATTGCTCACTTTATCTAAATTACCGAGTATGAGTATTGCCATAGCAAATGCATGCAATGTTTAGACGTTTGGGGTAAGGCAAGGGATTAACTAATACACTTGACGTACTGAAATGGTTTATCTATTCAACAAAATTTAGATATAATTACTGAATGTTCAGAACTATTTTCTTTGATTTATTCACTTGGAAAATGTTATAAATGGATTGCTCAAATTCTTGTTCAGTGATTTATGTAAGACTAATCGAAAATAATGTACGGTATGTGCAGGGGTACACTTAGGTTCCGGATAGAATTCATCATCATTGCAATGCTAGTATTATATTGTAAGGATCTTAAGTTTTACTAACGTTTATTTTATTTTAAATCTTTACTATCACTTCTTATTTTCTACTTCCGGCCAGAATTAAAAGCGTTAACTTATTTATGCAAAATTTGTCTGGCGAACGCCAAGTACTTAAGTTGTGGCTTTTTGCCAAGCGAGAGAGAGGAAGGAGTTAGTCGAAGCAGGCCGCTTGCCTTAGAAGTTTTACTCGGTTGCTGGTTGCCTTCTAGGCCAGAGGTTTAATCCTCTTGATAATTTTAAACGTATTGTAGTGTTAACAGTTCTCTGTACTACATACGGCTTCCTGTTAATATACGGCCAATCTTCCAGGTTTATTATTCCAAAGTTAAGTTAGAGTTTAGTTAAATATTTTTATATTCTTACGTTCAGACCACAAGTAGTTGGTCTCTGTATTCCGAAGTACGGAAATTATTGTAAAGAGTGAAAAATAAAGGGTTTCGTATACCCTTCCTGTGTATCTTGTCTACTTCCCACATTTATTGAACATAGCTTTAGTAAGCTCCCTGTTCCGAGTCAGGTTCCTCAATGTTCCCCAAGAAAGTAAGGCAGAACATTGAACCTGATAATATAACTATTAAATAAATTCTACTTACCCATGGATGTTCACATGCGATATCTTTCTCTTCGGAGAATGTGGTGTTTTTTGGAAAGCTGGGGATATAAGAGTCCATGCGACAGCCTTCCTGAAAGAAATTTATGCTAAAACTATTTATGCGTTAACATTATTTATCCAATAGATTCATCATAAAGATAAAAAAATCAACAAACTACATAATAATTATGTTATAATTAATGTAACGCGTTATAATTAACGTATGATTAAAGTAATACGCTATAATTAATGTAAAGCATGATTTCAGAAACTAGAATACAGTTTTTCAATGTAGCGTTAACATCCAATGTTGCATGCCGAAGAAATGTAGAGGGTTTTACTGGTCCAAGGCGCAATAGCAAGCATAATGGCTTTTATTACCTTATTCTTGTTTTAATCCGATGTTCATTTTTTTCTCAAAGTGGGAAATACGGACACATTTGAAAAATTTGATTGCCTAAACACTTTTGAAACAGACTTCTTTTAATTTTTATAAATATTGCAATCACGCATATTCATAAGAATAATCCCAAATTATATCAGTCAACCCTCCGCATAAGCTATTGCTAGATGCAAATGAAATCGAATTCAGAAAGAAGCTACCAGCGTTTTGTAGCTTTAGCCATTTTGCAACTGATACGTCCTACAGTCTAAATGATTCTGTATTGAGGCACATAAAGTTTGCTCATCTATACAAGCTTTTACCATTCATGGTAACTTATAATTTCGATTTCGAAGATGCTATGAACATGATGCTTTCTTAGACTGACACAAAAACCGTGGGATAATTAATCTGGCAATTCTGACAAAAATTAACAAATGGCTGTTGCTTGTCATTGACTATTAGGAAGAAAAATATGGGATGAGAAGTGTGCAAACAGACAGTTCACCCTTAAAGGGGTTTCTCTTTCTTTCTTCTTTTTCCTGAAGAAATTAACTATAAGAGTCTATAGTAAGTCTTAAGTCTTTACTATAAGAGAAGATTTCCTTTTTCTCTTTTTTCTTCTTTTTCCTAGACAGTGGATTTTCTGGCTTATACCGAACACAAAGTGCGTTCTGAAAAGAATTTGATATCCGTAATTACCAAGCAAGCTAATGATTCTTTTGATGGTAAGGTTTTTTCGATTCTTTAGTGTGGAAGTGGTAAACACTAAGCATCGATATTTCAGTCTTCTACTAGTAAGTTTGAGGTATCGATGACTGACGTTTAACGAGCAACGATATTCGCCAACAAAATAAAGATCTAAATTATTTAGAACAGCATTTATTGATAATAAGTCATTCAATTTGTTAAGCTTGTACGGTATAGTTTAATTTTACAACAGTTATTTTGATTTTAAAACCCTTTCCTATCAATTCTTGTTTCCACTTACAATTCACTACCAGAATGAGTTTTGAGAATCGCGTTGGATGCAAATGAGTTGGAAGAAGTGTTTAAGGAAGGTTCAAGTTACTTCGATAGAGAGGGCTAGGAATCCTGAGTAGCGCGTGTTTGCTCTTGGAACAAGTCACTCTTGAAGTTGTTACGCTTAGCCGTATTATTACGTGCCTTTTGATATTCGCCGGCTAATCTGAATTAAAGCGCCAACTACGTTAGATAATTGTGCTTTTGTGTTTAACTTCGGATAAGTTTCATTTAGTTAATTATAGTTTAGCTTCTTATTTCTTATTTTGAGTTAGTAAGTAAGCCCGAGTAGAGGCTTCCTGTAAATCCAAGAAGGAGCCGATTGTTATTCTTTTGTTCCAGCAATTCCAGCGCCCTAGGGGATCATTCCAATTGGCAGCTTGTATAAATAAAGCATATTATATTAATAATTCCAAGTAAAACTATACTTTTGTCGTTTGTAAGAAAAATGTTCTCCAAAAATCAACGCTCTAAGCAACTGCCTGTGTTACCTATCCTGCAGACGACCCTAATCACGTTTAATGAAAACTCACTGAAAATTAGCTTTCGGAAGGACACTTGAGAGATAAATGAAAGATATACTTCGTGCAATGGCAATAGTTTGTAAATTGCTTTATTTTACTTAACCAATTATTATGATTTAGGTCTTTACTATAACTTCCTTCCGTATTCCTCACCAGAATGTAAATTAGGCTTTTATGTATTTAAGATGAGGATTTTGAATGTTTAGATTAAAGCTTTTGGTAGCCGCGTTTTTGTTAGTTACTCTCGCTAACTCTGCTTAAAGTTATACTCCGACCTTAGCGTCCTGATTTTAGATGTTTTAAAAATAAGCGCCAGTAAAATTTCGAGCCAGCTAAAGTAATCTATGTTATCTGTAATTTCAGACTACGTTACCTACGTTGTAGTGTTATTGACTGTTATTCTTTATGTGAGCGCATATTGTGCCAGTTCTGTTCAATTTAAAAACTAAACAGAAAGTTTATTTTAAGATTCTCCAGTAGTTTGCAATTTGTTTTAAACAAAGCGATAGCTCGTTATTAGTTTCGTAGGGTCTTCAGAACTTCTTCTTCAAGGTATCAGTTACAACAGAGCTCTACAAGTTACTAAATCGTGTAGACGATAAATGCATGACACTGTTGTAAGGAATCACTGCATGTCTCCTACAGACTGTTGTGGTGTACATGATTAGGACATCCATCTAGCAGTTAGAAGATCTATGTTTGAATCTCAGAGAAATCAGTACAGTTGATTTTTCACATTTCCATCTTAGAATAAACTTAAAACTCTTTACACTAACTCCTGAATTAAAGTGCGATAAACGATAAATCTTCACCACTTAAATGTGCTCGACTGTATTTTCATGTCTTTCTCCAGTTTCTCTTCCATTGGAGGGGGAATGTACGGAATAATGCAATTCCTCCGTGCCCTCTTCTCGTTTCGAGTAATTAAGCACATTTGACAAACAGTTGGAAGATTTGTGATTGGAAAGCCGGCGACGACGCAAATTATTTTTCACGTTTGCCTCTTCGTAAAAGTCTAGCAAACTCTACACCGTAACATAATATTAAGGTAAAAAAACTTTGGAAAAGGCATTCTACTGTCCCATTAGAGTAAACGCGAGCTTGATTTAATCCATTAAGTTGTGAGACAATTAAAAAAAAAGTGGATCATCAAAAACAAAAGAGAATTTCAACGCAGTTTTGGATTAAAAAAGCAAGATGCCAAAATCTAAATTCAGAGATAACGTTCCTGATGAATGACAACATAAAGTGTTACAAAGAATTTGTAAAAACATTTTAATATCTTTTACAGCAGCTGTCAGTATTACACATGTTACTGTAACAGCTTATGTATACTGAAGAAAACCGTTATTCATTGTTAATATCATATACGTATTCTCCCTATCATTCCTAAACAATTCACAATAAATCATTACCGTGATGGAAGATTTAAAAGATACAACAAAATAATACTGGTAGCGTTAATTATCAAGTCACAGGACAAAGAAGTAGCCAAAATAATACAAAGATAACTCACTGATGCCAATAAAACAAGTAAGTAGTACTAGTAAACTTACCAACCCCATCATAGCCACAGTCATCAACAGGAGAGTAAGAAGAGTGAACAGAATAGTGCGAATGAGGACGCTGCTAAACCCTTTCTGGAAGATAATGATAAACTGCAACTTCGAAGATTTCTAAAAATAAATAATTACAGCAAAAGTTATTCTCTTTATAAATCTTTTTTTTTTTTCAATGAAACTCTCACTGAAGGTATATGTAAACCTTCGGAGGTGACGTTTTTTAATTATTAGAATTTTATACTCCGATTTGTATTTTAACGTTAAGCAAGGCATAAAGCTTCGCTAAACATAAAAAAAAAATTATTATTATTATTATTTTTTTTTTTGTAACATGAAAAATAAAGGGAAATTTATGTCACAAAATTTGCAAATGGGTAAAATACTTTAGCTAACAAACAAATCAATATTTTACTATTTTATAAATTTCATAATAATGAGTTTTATACATATGTACATACTTATAATGACTTTTACAAATAATAAACTGCTTTTATTTTATGATACGATTATCTTAGAGACTATTGTAGCTAGAAGATAGTAGTAAAAAAATTTCTTAAAACAAACTGACGTAATGCCTGAATTAAACCCATATAAATCAGAAATTATTATGTTATGATGAGTGCAGTGTATTCATTTCATACATTTATTAAAAAAATTCGTTTCGGGAACGTTTCCAATAGGCAAGGGTTTCTAAAATTTTATTTCCACTCTACATTAGCAATTTACTTTTAATTAATAATTTTGTTTTCTAGTCGATTTGCTTACTAAATTTCTAGAAATTCTTTAATAGTTAAAATTTCTTTTTTAAGGAATTTACTACATTTGTTTTTACTTTTGGTTTTGAATATTACTATACCCATGCCTATATGGATGACGAAACACCAATTGAGTAATTGAAGAGTTAGGTTTGGAGGCAATTTCATCTTGGAAAAGATCTGTCTCCTGCCTGCTCAACAATTATTCACTTTATGCAAATTAATTTAGTCTTAAAAATTCTTTAAAAATTTTTTGGGATTATTTTAACAAAAATATTTCAATTACAGTTCAAATTTTTTCGTTTTTTTCCATCAGTTAACTCAGATGAATACAAGACATAGAACACTAAATTCTTCCCTGTAAATTAAGAGTGTCGTTCTCGAGGCAGCCTATCACGTTTATTTTTCAGTGAGTGCTACTGTTTGTAAACCAATAAAATTAAACTTTGTGAAGATCTGAGTTAGAAATTTAACAATTTTTAAGGTTAGGATTTGAAAGATTTGAATTACAAGAAAAGCGCGAAGATTCGAATTTTCAAATCTCGAATCATTTTCAAGTTTCTTGAGATTCAAATATCCCATTCCTATTAAAAATAAACATCACATTTAGATTCATTAATATAAATCTATAAGAAATATCTCCGAAATGTTAAGTATAAAGGAAAGGAAAAGTATGTAAATGTAAACTTTGTCAACGTAATGAATTCACTACTACTTTCACTACAAATCTTACAGCGGAGAGCAGCGATAAGAACTTCTAAATGTAAAAGTACCTTTAGTTTACCAGCAATGACAGCCAACCACGAACAGATGACGCTGGTGATGCAGATTAAAAATACCGTGCAACCAGCTATCCACAAGTAATTCATGCTGCAAAAAGAATAAGCAGTATATTATTTATTCTTATTAAGCATAAGAATAAGCATTATATTATTTATTCTTATTAAGCATAAGAATAAGCATTTATATTATTATCATTATTTACAACTTTGCTTTCTTGGAGATAAATCTGATGGAAATTAGCTCTCTGGGCAAATTGGCTGCAAAATTATACATATTGTTACGAATTTTGTACATAGATAGATGATTTTAGTGTAGTTGTATGTGAAATTGTTGTATTTTTCTGTGTAAATGAAACGCGAAACAAATTTTAAGAAAAGCTATGCCGGAAAAGTAAGAATACAGGGGCAAGTCCGTTTAACATTGAGTAAATGGGCATCTCGGTAATTTGGCGAAATATTGCCAAGCATACAATGGTTTTGACGACTAATTTTGCCCCCAATATTTGGCGTAAAACTTGTCAAACTTGGCGACCATTTGGCGATTTTTTGGTCCGTTTCCTGTATCACCATAATAAGTATTGTAATTGATCATTATATTAGCTGTAACCAGCATTCGATCCTCATATTGCTTCCCAGTAATTTCGAGAAGAAGAATGTACTATAAATATCTCGGTGGCCCGCTGAAAACTATATAAGAGAGAGAGCATCTGCGCTCTAAAAACCATATCGAAAATATCTGTAAAAAAGCCAACCAAGCAATAGGCAGTATTTATGCACTCATAGGGAGAAATTCTAAACTTAATCTCGCTACAAAAAGAGTTATTTATCTACAAGCTATCCGCCCGATTTTACTATATGCTTCCCCAGCGTCGGCTGCAACTGCAAGAACTCATCGTGAAAAAATACAAAGAATTCAAAACAAGGCCATCCGAATAATTACAAATGCGCCTTGGTTCGTACGAAACAGTACTCTTCACAATGACTTAAAAATTAAACCAACGGATTCTGAAATTCTAAAAGCTTCTCATAACTTTTTTTTATGAAATGTGACAGTCATCCTAAGAATATCATCAAAAAACTAGGAAATTATGATTTCACTATTGAACAACGTCACAAGAGGCCCTGCACTATTCAACATAATAGTCGATGGTAATGTATATATTTTCGTTTTCTTCTTATTTAGCCAAGATTTTACTTCATTTTCTTTATTTATAGATTATCAAATTACAAAGCGCCATGGACTTTGTTCCTGCCAAAGCAGGTAGACTTTGTGTGTAAATAGTTTTTACTCTTGTGAAACGTTTCAATGTACTGCAAATTGATTTTTTCATCATTTTACTTTCCAATTATTGCTTATCAGAAGAATAATTTTTATGAAATTTTAAAAATGCCTTACAATACATCCTGCAAGAGATGGTGCAACCAGAGCTCCAGTCAACTAAAATGCTTTTGATCCCTACTAATAGATGGCGCCACAAGAGCACCTAATTTGTTCAAAGTTTACTTATTCTACGGACTGCGGCACAGGAGCCTCCGTCGCTAGTAATCTCTGAGTTCTAGCAAGCATGTGTAGAAGTACTTCCATATTATTGGACACAACTTACTCGATTCTTCAAGCATTTAAAAGTGAAGTATCATATATTGGTAAAGGCCGTTAATGGTCGATTGTCTCTTACTAAGTGATAAGAAATAGACATAGACATAGACATAGCATCTGCGCTCAGTAGTTAGCTGTTGTTGTTGAGTTGTTAGTTCACCGTGAAATCGAATTAGTTTTCTCCTTAATTGAGCTTTGCATTGCATTGTGTTTTAACGTTCGTAGTAGTTTGAAGCGTTACTGCTGATTGTATTTCGTGATACTGTAAACACCTGTAAGAGTAGTTCTGTGGAAGATTTCAGAACATTGAAGTGTTTCTGTTGATAAAATAAATTTTATTAACCTGTCATCGGACTGTGTGAATTCATTCTATTACGAACCCGTACGCATGCAACAATATATTAAGCTAATATAAGCAGACGGTACTTTATACTATTTGTACGAAAATTATGCCATTCGTCAGAACGGGAAAACTTACAAATTTTAACGAAAATTCTATGCATGCTAAAATGCTTGAAAATTTTTGATTTCAAATTCCATTCTTTTTTTTTTTTTTTTTTTTTTATACTTGATCTACACTTCTATAAGATTTGAATTCTACTTTTAGTTTTTTTTTTTTTTTTTTATAGACAAAAAAGAATATAGTTTCGAAATTTTCTCAACAAAGTTTTGATGTCATATGTATTCATATTAATATACAGACGTAAAAATAAAGAAAACCTCTTCGATGGAAAATTGATCCGACATGAAATACCAGTATTCAGAATTCCTCGATAATTATATTAAATATGAGAATAATATTAAATTTTATATTGAAATATCATAAAACTGAAAAAAAAGTATAATTTGCAAATAGTCTTTAATAAAGTACTTACAAAAAAACTGCATCATCTAGAAAAATAAAAATTTCGCAATGTTCACGCATTATTTTGTTACTTTACATTATTTCAGCTGTTGCTAAGCAAGATGTGAGATCAGTCTGCATTCATATTGCATCATACAGCGCTTTGTGTCATCCGATTTCTATAAATAGCGCGGTAAAAGGCGGCAACGCCTCTCTTCTGTAAACGATGAAAGATGGCTCCGTATGTTCAGTTGACGCAAGGAAAAAACATGTGTGGCAGTTGCTTTAGCTAAGGAAGGATATTTGACAGGCGTGAAAAATTGGTAGCAATCAATCGACTGTCCCGAGAGCGATTAAATTGGACATAACAATAATGATGATGAGAGAGAAGAGCCGGATCTGACCGAAAGATAGTGACACAAAATATGATATGAAACTGGTGTTTCTCCGTAATCGTCATGCAAGTGCTGCTGATTTAAAAAGTTAAATTTAAGAAAGAATGTGGTATTAATTTAAGCGCACGCACTGTCCAAAAACACCTTCGAAATGCGATCTGCATGCGTATTACCTCCCGAAAAGGCCTTTTCTTAAAAAAAGAAAAATATATAAAAATAAAGGAAAAAATATGAAAGCTTTCAGATTTTATAATTACGCCCAAAAGGGTTTTTCAATTGCAACCACGTTTCGAGAGCAGTGGGCTAAAAATATTTAAAAAAACTATCTTTATTTCCGATAGACATACGCTGGATATATATATATATATATATATATGTAATGATATTTTTAAATCAATTGATTAAATTAAATTCTAATAATATTGCTTAATAATGTGTTGGCGATTCTCTACCTAAATTGCATCCCTGTTCCTAAATTTTGGCGAAATCCTTTCTTTAGTATAAAATATATTAACCTGTTGGCGCCCGCCAAATCGCCAAACTCATAAATCTGTCATATTACATAAAGTCCTTAAGAACACTCCTGATGAGAAGATAGCGTCACCTCGTGATTTCAATTAATATCGCTGATTGGAGGAGCCTCGTGACGCACACATATGTATAAGTAGGGCTTTCTGCTCAAGGTACGAGGAGAACGCTTGTGAGATGGATGCTAAAATAAACCTACCACTTTATATTCCAAAATTTGTCTCATTCCTGTTGCCCCGGCTGCACAAAACAAATAATGTATGAGAAATTACATTTCAGAAAGCCGGTAGGATACCACCTTCAAAGGGATTATCTAAAAAAGAAGATACCCCAAGGATTATACGGATAAAATGTTACGCACTTTAGATGAATTTGCCGCTGTGCGACTTCTATGTTTCTACATTTTTCTCTAGGCGTTCTTGCTTCAAGAGAATCATCCTTCTGTTACCTGTATTCTGGTATTCTGCAGATTATTTTACGTCCAGAGAAGCATCCTTCTGCCCCCTGTGATGTGTGATCTGTGTTTCCATCGAAAGTTCGTCGTTCATCAAATGTGCTCTTACCGTTGACCTACTTTTGAGGATGGAAATCTTTCCCTACGTCTACGCCGTTCTGTGTTGCTCTCGAGAGCTTTGTGCTTGTGTGGTGATTGATCGTGTTTTGCGAAAATCTAATCAAGAGTGCACAAAAATGTGTATTTTCGTGTCGATTTCATCACTCGTATTCTCGTCACAATAAGTTCAAACAGAAAAGCAAAGATTGATGCAAATGATATTATTACTATTGAATTATAATTACTGATTTAATAATAGTGTTTTTATTTTGAAAATTTTAAAAAGTATTATTTTGGTATAAATGTATTTTAAATTTGGTATTTAAAGGATGTATTTTGGTTTTAATATTGTTTTGGGAAAATTTAAAGAGTATTATTTTTGAGTTAGTTTTATTTATGAAAGTATTATTAAAAGAATAATGGCTAATGAAAACCTCTCTGATCCTGATGATTCATTAAGGGCAGCTAGCGCTGAACCTGAAACAAGTATAATTCCCTTTGACGCGCAGAATGATATGGATATAAATTCATGGCTTGAGTACTTTAACAAAACTCATTTAGATAAAGATGAAACGTGGAAGCTTAATAATGTAGCTCGATATCTAAAAGGTAATGCACTTAGCGTATATGTCAAAAACTGCCATAAAATTACTAAATATGTGGAATTAGTCCAAATTTTAAAGGAAAATTTTTTCGACCCCACTTTAACTACGTTTGGTGATTTTGCCAATTACAAGTACAATCATAAAGAGGACATAACGCAATATTTTCGCAAAAAATTAGATATTGGTAAAAAATTAAATCTAACTCATGAAATGATCTTGGAGGGTCTGACGGATGGCCTTCCTATAGAATTAAAATCCTTAATGACGATCAACGCACCCTCTGACCCCATCTCTTGGCTTACTCATGTCCATAAGCTTATTAAGATTAGCGAAAATCAACAAATCAAAAGTGCACCTCCCAGATTTGTTACTCCGATTGGGAACAGTCCCCAAGATTACAATCGATTTAATAGAAGTAGAATTTCAGCTTCAAGCTATGAAACTACTGTGAGACAAGATTCTCCTAGACCCAACAATTTCCAACGTTTTCAGAGACCAAGTAATTTTTATAATCGGTTCAGTGGTCCAGGATTTACAAGCCATCATAATTATAATTCTCAAAATAG